CAAATTTAATTTCTAAATAGAATTTTTATTAATAAAATCCATTTTATTAAATGGTAATCTAAGGGGCATGTGGGTGACAGTGGTTGGAGCAAAAATCAAGCCTGACAATGTAAAGCATCAATATTTGTTTGTCAAATAGCCCATTTAGGATTATTTAAAAAATATATTTTATATTCTAATAGAATATATGGAAATCATACAGTAAGTCTATGATATAACTTGCTAACAGCTAGCACCAATGCAATTTCTAAGATTCAAAAAACTAATGAATTACTAGGGCAATTAGGGATGAAATCGGACCTTGAGGCTACAAGATACTTTGTGTTCAAAAGAATCCTTTTTCAGATTTTAGTGGGAATGAATATTTAAATAATTAATTCAAAGTAATTTATTGTGGTTTGCAGTAGTCAGTTTACTGGTATGTGCGCTATTATTTAACATACAAAATGATGTATTAACCCATTGTGCCAGTCTATTAGTACAGAAACTTGACTATCAACTGCTTGTTCAATGCCTAATTTGTCATGCTTTATGCACTGTGTTTATTATGCTGTGACTGTGTGTTCATTAATACGAACATTTAACTTACTGGTGTTTTAGGTAGCACATTTGTGTATTTCTTTGGCTTACATGTGACTCATGTCAGTTTTCTCATAAATTAAACTCAAACGTGAGGAAGAATATATTAGACTAACTGCTTAAACTTACCAACAGGACGAAGTGTGTACAGCTGATCAGTAGCTTTTTGTGTGTGAGCATGTGTTTGTTTGTGTGTGGTCGCACTACTGCTTAATCACTTGTTCTCACATCTATCTAATCAATGGACTGTCAGTCTCTTTTCCGGCAGGGAGGGAGATTGATCTTCAGGAGTCGCCCCACACTCGTTACAATGTTCTCCGTCTTCATTAACACCACCATTAGTCTCACATAGTTACTCTTTAACACAACAACACAAACAACACTTCAGCAGCATTACGAATGGGGAGAGTGGAGCATACTATGGCGTGCATTTTAGGCTGACTCACAAATGCATACAGAATCAAAGAAATTCCGATGTGGATAAAACACAGTCAGCATGATAGTTTTACATTTAGCTTTATACATTTAGAAGGTGCTTTTATCCAAATATTAAAGGAAATTAGAAGAATTCATCATTAGAAGAACTTAACAGATCTAGATTTATAAAATGTGGAATTCAAACTTTGTGAATGGTGACTGTAAGGGCTATGGAACGGATCACTCGCTCCGGGGGTCTGATCAAAGCCCAGGAATTCAGTCAACAACTGTTCTTTTTTTCGAGGCTTTACTGTAGTATGTAATAGATAAATGATGATAAAAGATAAATACAAAAAAAATGAACGTACAAATGTCAAACATGATATTTGTCAGCACAATAACAAGCATTATCATCAAGATCACTGAGCATAAGTGAAACACTATAGCTCAATGAGTTAACATGTTAGCATTTGACTAAGCCATTTATCAAAATATTTATTCACACACTTGCCAGAAGTTTACAATACAAAGAAAAACAACCTTATAGGCAAAATAAACCTTAAATATAACCAATATACTAATACATCTCATGGTTGCTGCATAGATAACAAGCTTGTATTGTTAACAATCACATCAGATTTTACTGCTCACTATAATAGAATAATTACTTTCACTGCAAACATCAAAAGATTACGGCTTAATGTTAATATAGAGCATTATATCACTGAGCAAAACTCACTTTATAAGATGCACGCACTAATTAGAAAGCTGGACTGAAACGGCTCATCTCACTTCATAGATATATACACTAGATATCGCATAGGGACCCTGAGCATGCGTCAATTGCGCCGCCACATTGGTACAGTGCTCCCAGGACAAATGTCATTCAACCGCACTAGTCAAGACAGTGTTACTACGTGAAGATGCGGGACTTTAGCGATGTCTACGGGTGTAGTAACGAGCAAACAAAGAAAACAAAGCACAAAGGCAGAACATTTCATAGGTAAGATTATGTTTTTTACGTTTTTGTATGTTCTGAACTTTTGTGCTAAATAGTAGCGTTATTGATGATAGTGCAGTCACTTACTGCATTCACCATAAGTCAAAGTAGCTCCAACTCGCACTAAATACTCGGCTTATGCTAGTTTTGTTGAATAAAATCAGCAAACAATGCAAAATAAATATGACAACCAGATGCTGCAGTGCCAGAAACTTGTATTATTGTCAGCTAGTGAACGAGTCGTTCATAACGGAGATTCATTCACAAACGAGTCGCTCCCTCCGTCAGTATGAGAAGTGAAAGCAGGAGAGGAGGTGTTTCAGGACACAGATTAGATCAAATTTAACAGGGAGGGTGGATAGTACATTTCCATACACAGAAACACAAGCTTTTTGTCTGGAATGACAATGTAGAGAAGTTATGTAAAATTATAATTTTCGTAATTAAAAAAAAAATTGCATACTGACATCCAGGAAAACTACCGATCATAGATATACTGTATGTGTATCTGTTTATATCTCTGGCTTTGGATGGCCACAGTCCTCCACTGTACCTTGGTCCCACATTCATTTCAATGGAGCGCTACCCTGTTCCAAAATGGCGGCTCTATTGACGCATTCCTTCCAATAGACAATAACAGGGTAGGCGACATCTAATTTATATATCTATGGTCTCACTTTTAATAAAGTTTGCTGTGCAGCATTAAAACGGCATCGCATCTTAAAGGCTCAACAGGTCTTAAAGAGGCCACACATGAAAACCTTTTTTTACAAGGACTTTTTTTTTGCTGACTTAAGATGCAAAAAGAAGTTTACAATGACGACGGAGTTTGAGTCCAATGAAGAATGATTCCAGAAACAGGTAAAACAAAAAGCAAAAACTTAAATAAACAAGTTAATAACAAGGTGAGAACGTGGTAACATCTAAAAACATGGTGAAAATCAGGCGGCCGCAAGGGATTGCTTTTAAAAAGCAGCTTTGTCGGTTGTATTTAGTGAAAGGTGGTGGGCAGGTCAATCGGGGCTTTTAAAAAACACTACTGGTTGTGTTTAGGGAAAGGGGTGGGTGGGGGGTTGGTCTGTCAGTCAGTCGATAGAAGAGAAGGCGCGAATGGCACTCATGAGAAAAATTTGAGATCTAAAAAAGCATACATACATAAACAAACATATTTCCTGGGATATATTTTGCACTTTCGAGAAATGTATACAGGAGTATGTATCCCCGATGAGCCTTGTGTTGGGTGAATGAAGTACAAAAATTAAGTATTTATAATATAATAAAATATTCCTCAAGTAAGAATCTTTTTTTCTCAGTCCAGACAGAGTGCTGAAGTGATTTTAGTTATTTATGTTTTAAAGGCATTTGAGGATTTTTTCCTTCATTTTTTTGTAGTTTTTTCAACCGTACAACAATAACATGTAAGAAGCCAGTTTTTAAATGAATGATTAAAATGCATTTCTAAAACAATTAATAGGATCATTAGGTAAATATTCTTCTGACTATGTTCTCTTGTGAATGCAATTTTCAATCCAGTTCTTTCTATATTTCGTAGTTTTCAGAGTTTATCTCATACATGTACAGTATGTGCAAATTGTGCCCTACCTGACAAAATTCTTGTCGCCTATCCAAGTTTTAGGAACAAATAATAACTTGACTTATAGTTGATCATTTGGCATCAGAAGTGGCTTGTATGAAAGGCAAAGATCTCTAGATTATGTTTATTTTAGCAAAATAAAATATGATCATGCCTTCATGTCTTTTTAAAAATTATTTAAATAAGACAGTAAGTAAGGTCTGGCTTTGCTTCTATACATCTCTGCAATGACAATGAAAATAGATGATTTTAAAGTCATCTGAAATGACAAGGAAAGCATTCTTGCAGGACTCTTAGAGTTCATCAAAACTCTTGGATTTCATTTTCAATGCCTCCTACTTCATCTTACCCTAGTTATGCTCAATAATGTTCATGTCTGGTGACTAGGCTTTCCAATCCTGGAGCACAAATGTCCTAATACCTCAGGCTGTTATTGTTGCCATCCAGTCTGCAGATCTCTCGCATGCCCCCATATTGAATGTAACCCCAAACCATGACATTTCCTTCACCAAACTTGACAAATTTTTGTGAGAATCTTAAGTCCATTCGGTTGCCAATAGGTCTTCTGCAGTATTTGGGATGCAGTTCAACAGATAATTCATCTAACAAATCTACCTTCTGCCACTTTTCCAAATGATTAACCGGAAGTCAAGTTATTGTTTGTTGCTCTTACAACTGGGGTCGATGACAAAACTTTTGTCAGGTAGTGTGTGTAATTCTTCTATTGATAATCAAATAATCAAATGTATGATATTCATGATGATCTACTGAAGCACAGTATACTCTTCTGAACACAGAAAGCAGGAATGACGTCAAATCACATTTATTTCTAAAGATTTTTTCACAACCCATGTCAAGACTGTGGTGACCATGAAGGACATTCCATATGCAAGGCATTGTCTCTTGGACTCCCCTACCCCACTTTGCCTACAACATACAGTGGCCACATTCACACCTCCTGAATAAAAGGAAAGCTAAAGATGAAGCAAAGAGAGTGTTGGTGATGGAGACAGTGAGTGACTGCTTTAAGTGGATGTTACAACCTGCTGCTGTAAGAGAAATAAAAGCTCTGGTGTGGGTTGGGACGCCTCTTCTCCACTGAAGAGGAAATAACCCCAGCCTTCTCCGCTCATGTAATATTAAATATCTCTCCTTCCACCTCTCTCTGTTCCCCTCCTCTTTCTTGTAGGGCATGTAGAGAGGGCAGCATTCATACTCCCTGTCTTTCATATCAGCTCTCTCTCTCTCCATTGCTCCCTCGCTCTCTTTCTCTGAGTGTACGGGCAGCAGCGACGTCAGCCGTCAGCGAGCAGCTGAGGAGAGCAGAGGAACTCTCATGTGTGTGTGTATGTGTGTGTGTGTGTGTCTCAGAGTCTCCAGCTCATGCCGCTACTCTCTCCGGAGTCTACTGTGGCTGTGGCACATCCTAGGGCACTGACACAGCGAATGAAGCACCTCCATCTGCGCTCCTAAAACGGCGGCAACAAACCAAGGAGAAAACAATGGATGGATGAGAAGAAGAGAGAGATGAGAATCTAAGGGAAAAGTCTAAAGGTAGGAGAGACTCACTGGGAGTAGATGGAGAGAGCAGAAAAAGTTGAGCAATATTTGTTAATGATTAACAAGATTTGAGAAAGAAGATTTAGGAAAGGAGGAAAATCTCAGCCGAAGGAAGGATCAGAATACATTTGCAAAGGGCTCTTCACACGGAGCCCTGGCCAACCACATGCCCATCGAATTTGTTTGTAAAATCAAGTTCGCTGAGGGCGAAGAAGCCAAGGGGGCCTCGACAGAAGGAGGAGGAACCGGCATGCTAGATGAAGGCCTTCGGCGGCAAAAAGAAGGCATGGCTGACCTGGCATCCTTTGCAAGCTCCTCTTCACTTCACGGTTTGGCTCGGGCACTAGGGACCTCGGAGCGCTTGGGTTTCAGACAGACTCTTTGGGGACTGGCACTGCTGGTCTCGCTTGGTCTCTTCCTGTACCAGGCGACATGGAGTGCGGCGACTTATCTGGAGCGTCCCCACCTCGCAGCTCTAAGGGAAGAAACCCGCCGAGAGCTCACCTTTCCGGCCATCACGCTCTGTAACGTCAACAGATTCCGCTTCTCTGCCCTCACAGATGCGGACATCTACCACTTGGCTAACCTCACCGGCCTTCCGCCCAAGAGCCGTAAAGGACACCGGCCAAGCGAGCTCCAGTACCCACCCCCAAACATGCTAGACATTTTCCAGAGGACTGGCCACCAGCTGGAAGACATGCTGAAGAGCTGCAACTTCAGCGGGCAGAACTGCTCAAGCGAAGACTTCAGCGTGGTGAGTAGCACTGGCTTTGATTGGCTTCCAGGCGCAAGAAAGATATGATTGTTAGGGGCTCTTTTTGTTTGGTGACTGTGGGCAAAGTGTTGTACAATGCCTCCCTCAGCCGTTTCCTTTATTAGAGACAGATAACAGCTAAATAATGTGTGTGGAAAAAGGAAATTAAGCCCCATCCATCTGTGTCTAACCTCCATGCTGGGGCAACAGACAGTAAAACAGTGCAGTTATTTGCTCAGTTCGAGATCTCTTTTTTCTCTCCTCTCTCTTACATCATAGCCTGTCCCATTTGATGCTGAGTTATTTTGGCCAGTGAATGGATGAAAAATTCAGGAGAGGGACAAGCGACATGATTCCTGCATTAGCCCAATCAGCCTTGAGGAGACGCATTCAACTATCCAAAGAAAGTTCCCTTCCTTACGTTGACGTTTCCTTTGCCTGTCACTATAGTGTAGCTCCCTGTTTTTGCTGTTGTTGTTGTTTTTTCAGTAAGTAATTTCCTCTTAGAGCTATCAGTCTAAACAGGAATAGATAAGAGAGATCTTCCAGGATTTAGACTTCTCTTTTCAAGGATATCAGCTCTCGCTGTTGTTCAAACCCTCTTTGTGTAACTCCTCTCTTTTTACTATTGGTTTCTAATGCAGAGATTTGAAATGTAATTATTTTATGGCATTCATCATGCAGCAAAGGCTTGGGCAGGTGATTAACTATATTATCCTGCACACTGATTTGTTTGCCAAGTGTGTACACATTTTCTCAGTGCCCTCATAACCTGAGAATTACCAGAATTCCCATCGGTCTATTTTAGCATATAGTAATGTGCATTCAAATTGCTGCAGTTTTGAGCATATTGCTGACAGTCTCTTTGTCAGTGATTGACATCATAACTCACCCTTAGGAAAGTAATTTCCCATGTGCGCTTTGGAGAGCTACAGTCATGATCAACTCTTCAGATCTCTAGCATTTCAAATTAGACCACCTTTAGAGAAACCCTCAGAAACCGTTATCTAAAAGTGAATATTCCTGTTTGTAAAATATTATCAGAGGAACAATGTGAAAAAATCATTCTGGGTAAGAATTTACAATATATTCATGTCACAACAAGTAAAGTCATAACTGCATAATTATTTTGCAGATTATGATAACACTGCAAAAATTACTTTTTTTTTATAATTAAATTTTAATTTTTTTTTCTTGTTTCTAGACCAAATATCTAAAAATTTAAAATTAAATCAGGAAGCATTTTCTAACTCATCCTCTTGTTTTCAGAAATAATATACCAATTTTAAGTGAGTTTTTTCTTAAAACAAGCAAAATAATCTGCCATTGGGGTAAGCAAAATAATCTTGTTTTTCCTTTTGGCATGTGATTATTTTTCTTACACCATTGGAAGATTATTTTGCTAGTTAAAAGGAAATACTCACTTCATTGTGGCAAATTATTTCTTAAAACAGGACAGTGTTTTGCTTGTCTAGAAAATGCTTCTTGATTTCAGAATTTGTAGATATTTAGACTACAACACTGCAAAAAAATGCTTTTCTTACTTAGATTTTTTGTCTTGTTTCTAGTCCAAATATCTAAAAATTCCTAAATCCTAAAACTCACTCAATATTGGCATATTATTTCTCAAAACAAGACAATATGTTTTGCTTGTCTAGAAAATTCTTCTTGATATAAGAAATTTTAGATATTTAGACTAAAAACAAGACAAAAAAAATCTAAGTTAGAAAAGCATTTTTTTGCAGATGTACTTTAGTAATTACAATCAATTATGCACAGTTACATGCAACTAACTCTAAACCTAACCTGCATTTTAAACCCTACCTTACAATAAGTACAGAACATAGTTTATATCTCTGAGAAGTTTAACGAACAGTTACTTGGCACTGTACAAATGACAGCTTAAAATAAAGTGTAACCAGTTTATTAACTGATTAACTAACTTTAGTAACATTTTAATTTAAGATGACATATGAAATTTCACATATTCCATGTGCTTACCATAGTAATTACAATGAATTATGCATAACTACATGTAACTAATCCACAATTTGACCACATAATTAATATAATTAATATTACTTAGTAATTAAATAAATAGTTACACTGTAACCATAAAATAAAGTTTAACCCTAACTTTTGACCTGTTTTGATAAATAACGCATTAATTTACGCTACGGTAGCACATTATTCGACTAATTCTTAACCTAAGAACTTTTATCAAGTGCAGTTTTTATGTACATGTTAAGTACTGTAAAATAAAGTGCAACCCTTAATATATACATATAGTACTTTACATATTGACACTTTTAGCTTACAGCATTTTAAAGATTATTTAATGATTATTAATATGTTACTTAGGCTATAATTTGCTGATTCATTAATCAATATTCAGTGGTTTTGTTTTTCATCATTTCGTCATAGGTTAACTCATGATTTAAACATACATCAAGCCATGCGAATGCATCTATTTCGTAAAGTGTTACAGATATTGGCCATATAATTACAATTTGAGGTAAAAGTCAAATTGTCAAACAATCACTGTCCTTTTGTGTGACCCTGGACCTAAAAATTAGCACGGGTGTATTTGTAGCAATAGCCAAAATAAGTCAAATGATGAGTCAAAATAATTGATTTTTCAGAATTTTTAAGTAAAGATCATCTTCCATGAAGACATTTTGTACATTTAAATCTTAAATCAAAACTTACAGTAATTTGATTAATATTTATTGAGTTTTCAGATCATGTATAAATCACAATTATGAAAAAATGACTGGTTTTGTTGTCCTATGTCCCATTTGAATTTATTTGGATTGATTTTTTCATATTGCAACCGGAAAAATCGAATGGTTGACAGATTTGTTTCATTGTTTTAAGGCTATGAAGTCACTATCAATAGGTGCTAACTCTTGAATCATCCTTATTAGCCTTCTTTGTAGCAGTTGTGGTTTCCTGTTATTTCAGCAGGTAGTGTAGCAGTACAGAAACACATTTAATACAGTACCTGTGAGGTTAACACATCATCGTTTTGACATAAAGCCCTTGTTATGCTCTGACACTGCAGCAGGAAGTTAGATTTTGAGGTTGTCTGATACAGTAATGCACCTGCAGACATCTCAGCACTGCTCCTGAATTTTATCCCATTCAAAATTTACAATGTGCTCCATCAAAATGTGTTCTTTAAAAAAAGTGATTTAAATGGAGGATGAGAAAGAATTTTTTATTTAGTTTTGTGGTATGTGTTTGTTCTGCTGATGTTCAATTTAGTCTGTTTAAGCTCTTTGATCTAAGAAGTCACTAGCTTAAATTGAAGTGCCATTATTGAAATGAGCTATACCAGATTTTCTATTTTAGAATGTAAATCTATGCATAATTTGATACTATAGGTGTGGATCAGCCTTTTGCAACACTTCTTGTAAAGTATAATACTTTTGTCAAAGGCCTGTTTATTATTATTGTACACATACACTCGTCCAACTGCACGTTAAAGCAAACATCTAATTAGCCAATCATATGGCAGCAACTCAGTGCATCTAGGCATGTAGACATGGTCAATATAATCTGCTGCAGTTCAAACTGAACATCAGAATGGGGATAGGAAGGTGATTTAAGTGACTTTAAACGTGGCATGATTGTTGGTGACAGACAGGTTGGTCCTAGTATTTTAGAAACTTCTGATCTACTGGGATTTTCACACACAACCATCTCTATGGTTTACAGAGAATGGTCTGACAAAAAGAAAACATCCCGTGACCAACAGTTCTGTGGGCACAAATGCCTTGTTAATGCCAGAGGTCAGAGGAGAATGGCCAGACTGGTTCCAGCTGATAGAAAGGCAACAGTAACTCAACAGAGGTATGCAGAAGAGAATCTCTGAAAGCACAACATGTCGAACTATGAGGCAGATAAGCTACAGCAGCAGAAGACCACAGTAGAAATTGGACAGTAGAAGATTGGAGAAACGTTGCTTGGTCTGATGAGTCTCGAATTCTGCTGCAACATTCGGATGGTAGAGTCAGATTTTGGTGTCAACAACATGAAGGATGATCTTGTGCTGAAAAAACTGTGCCAATTTAAACTGTTTTAAGATCCAAATTTAAAAAATATGTGAGATGTAGTCCCACAAAAAGCCAAACACTATGTAATTCTAAATTACTCTGTCCGTTCTCTTTTCAGAGATCATAATGGCCCTTTTTACGGCTATTATACAACAACTGTGCCTGTCTTGTTGTCCATCTCATAGAACAAGAGCCTTTAAAATCATTCTTCTGTTTCAGCCCTAAACATAGGCTGCTACTTAAGCTTAAGGACTACAAGCTGTGTGTACTTTTGGTTGAGACCCTCACCAAGCGATAAATGAATGTAATCAATCCTTCTAGAGTCAACATGCTGTAAAGCACATCCCCTGGTTGTTAGAATCAATGAATGGTAACTGTTAACAACAACTGTTTTGAATTAGGGACATTCAATGACATTAATGCATGTTATAATTGTTTAATTGATTCTGTACAAAAAAAGCATTGTATTAAGGTTGAAGCAATATTAGTAATATTACTTTGTGAAAAATATACTTAAAAAAATCCTTAATACTAAAAAATACCTTAGAAAATTACTAGCATTTTAAAAATGTTTCTACACTAAATTTACCTGAGTAAGAAATTGCTAGTATTTTAGACAATAATTCATCATTTTCTTTCGGCTTAGTCCCTTTATTAATCCGGGATCGCCACATCGGAATAACCACTAACTTATCCAGCATGTTTTTACACAGCAGATGCCCTTCCAGCCGCAACCCATCTCAGGGAAACATCCACACACACTCATCCACACTCATGCACTGTGGACTGTGGGGGAAATCGGAGCACCCGGAGGAAACCCACGCAAACGCAGGGAGAACATGCAAACTCCACACAGAAATGCCAACTGACCGAGCCGAGGCTCGAACCAGCGACCTTCTTGCTGTGAGGCGACAGCACTACCTACTGCACCACTATTTTAGA